TTTGTTGTAGTATAGATGTCTTTCTTTTGTCGGTTGGAGCGTCATTGTGGTTTTGCATTCAATATATTATTTTATGCTATCACTAATAAGCAATAGGCAATATGCATTCAGTCCGTGTGGTATTGTTGGCTGCATACCCGAAAGGCCAGTATTGGCAAAAAAACTACGTTCGACGTGGATCCGGATTATTCCACTGGAAGGACTATAAAACACTATCTACCTTTTTTTGTAATATCGTTTATATTATGCCAAATAAAACTCACGTTTGCAGTGGGAAATAAGTCATTGCCATTAACTCTTTTCCAATTATTACATTTCGAAACAGCCAAAGTTATTTTGAATGTCTTTGGGAGTAATCCAGAAGTTTCTATGGTATGCCTGCATTTATATAGGTAGCTTTCAATAAGTTGGTAGAGGAGAATGTAATTTTATTTCCGAAAAGTATTTCTGGATACTAACATTTATATAGTTATAGATCTCGTTAGTATCATATCTGATAAACACCTTTGACCACTCGAATAAATTAGCTAAGTTGACCGGATCCACATCTGTTTCATTTGGTCCTACAACGATGAAAAACCCTGAGATAACGGGATCTTTAGTATCTGGCGCCCCACATTGGGCGCCAGATAAATTCTCGTACTCTCGTTGGTATTCGGACCGGATTCACATCTGTTTCATTAACGAGATCCTTAGCAAAGTGCTTGAGAATATAATAGTCGGTTGACGAAAGGTTTGAACTTCGACGATCATTTCGCTCAATTTTCGGAAGGTACCTAATTTGTGAAACGTGCGGACGGACGTTGCCATAGAGAAGAATCGGACCTTTTCCATTGACCAGTGCCGGCTGATGCTGACACAATTTTCTGTACATTCAGTCACAATAGGAATCTGCTTTGATAGTTTGGTCCGGTTGCAGAAAGTTACACCATTCGCTTACCACCTTACAGTAACCATGGTTTTTTTTGGTAAGTTTTTGCCTTTGGGAAGTGCCTGGGTGGCTCATCGGTGTCCATTGTTCTGAACGCCTCTTGTTGTATATAATCCACTTTTCATCACGCGTGACGATCCGATCCTAAAAATCTAATAGGCATCTATAATTTAACATGGTACAATTCCACTTTCACTTTCAGATAAACATCAAGGATTAGGATGGGCTGTTTGGATGCAGTTAGATTACTTTACAGGAACTTGGACCTGATATGTAGATCAAATCAAAGTTCCGCATCACTATGACAAGACTTTCTACAACGAAAGGGCACAGCACCTCGAAGGTTCCGTTAATGACTTTCCCTTCGACTCGATACGGTTACACACACCTAAAAATGGAGAACTCTTATGTGTTCCTCTCACCCCGGCAGGAGTATTTTAACGCCTCCCGGTGCAAGAAATGTTCATACGGGTATGACAGAGTACAAGAATGCTATGTTGAGGAATTTGGGGCAGACAAATCTGCAACTGCCTCAGAAGAGGATGTTGTGAGAAACACGACTGAATGGAAACAGAGTGAACTAGTCTGTAGTCATGTAGATGAGACCATCTTACACCATTTTGATGACAAATAGTCCTATAACCTTCACGAAACTTAAAAGAGGTGAACTCACTGGAGAAGGAATGAATCGAATTGATATCTACAACTCATGACATTCTAATGTCAAAAAAGCTCATTCTTACTCGGAGAAAACTAAGACGATGAGAATCTTGGAAGAACTCAATAACTTGAAATTTCATAACATATTTTTTTTTATTGAGCTACCACATGATAATGTTTCAAAATATACATATACATGCTGAGAAAGATAATATGCTGAATATTGGAAAATTAAAATTTGGAAACTCTAACATAAAATGAATTTGACATAAACAATCATCCCTTACAATCCAACTGTAACACTCCTTCCGACCCACGTTTCATGATGATGAAAAAAAGATAAGTGGAATAATAAAGTTTCATATCCGTACCTTATACAGGGCTATTCAAATTCTTTTCTGTTCATGAGGATCTCGTAAACGATAAGAGATAGAGTGTCGGTTAAATTGTGGCAAAGTTGCGTATTTTACAAACCTATTCAATGATGTGAAAAAATCGAATATAGCTCTTTTGGTTCTGGAGATACACAGGAAAAACAAAAAAATCCCAAATTATTTTTTTGCCTATATTTTCTTTATTCGCAGACAAATTGAAAATTTGTCCACATTTTGCTCTCAGAATATGTCTATGAGGCCGTAATTTAAAAAGGAATAATTCACACAATTATAATCAAATATTACCGAAAGATCCCGAAATATAATATTGAATTTAATTTCTCAGTACGAAGTGAACATCGACGATACAAAAACTACAACAAAAAATATAGGTCCGTATTTAAAAATTCAAAGATGGGGGAGGCTCAAGTCAGATGACACCCTATATAAAAGATTCATGGACATATTCTGATAGCCCACATCAAGTGCCAACAGCAAAATGTGGACAGACTTTCAATATGTCTGCGAATAAAGAAGATATAGGCAAAAACATAATTTGGGATTTGTTAGTTTTTCCTGTATATCTCCAGAACCAAAAGAGCTATATTAGATTTTTCACATCATTGAATAGGTCTCTAAAATACGCAACTTTGCCATAATTTAACCGACACTTTATCTCTTATCGTTTACGAGATTCCCATGTATAGAAACGAATTTGAATAGCCCTGTATAATGGTATTGTTAATTTATTTTGACTAACTTCAAACGGAAAGATGTATTTTAAACGTTGTACACTTATCAAGAATTGATGATAATACAATAATTTTATAAGTTTATCTCATTATCCTGATCAGGATCGCTGGGATTGAATAATTTTCTGACACTGTTTCTGTGTGAGAGCAAGTGAGACAACCACAATGTCTGTGCTTGCATTTATATTTCATATTAAAAAACAAATGGGCTTGAAATAGCAAGCCAAACTGAAAAGTGGAAAATAAATAGTAGTTTGAAAAACTAAAACAAGCTTCAATAGCATTACAAACTGAAAAATAAAAAATAATTTGAACCTCATTTAAGATTGTGTCAACATCGATAATAAGTCTCATGACTTTATCTTTATGTAACTAATGACTTTCAATAAGTCTGAAATCAGAATAAATATTTCACATGACAACTGATCTAGTTTCCCCACTTGTTGGTTACTTATGACAAAAGTTGCATCATCGGCATATAAAAAAACATCTGCTGTATCAATAATAGTAGGAAGATCATTTATGTATATAATAAATAGAAGGGGACCAAGTACGAATCCCTGAGGTACTCCGTGCTTGACAATTTTGGTATCAGATTTTACTGTAGCTTTGAAGCTACAGTAATCCAGGACGACGATTTGAGGCCCCTGGTGGAGACTGATCCATCACAAACGGTGCGTGGGATGGCGATCGTTAGCTCCTATGCGGTTTTTGATGGCTCAAAACTGATTGGAAAAGTCAATAAGTTTCAAAAGTGGATGCTACATGATTTAAAAGGTGGACAAAATATATTACATTTCGAAATATGTTCTTCTTTGCGTTTGCGAAACCAAAACGATTTTTTTATTCGCTTCGTCACGTGTGATGCGAAATGGATCCTCTACGACAACAGGAGACGTTCAGGATAGTGGTTGGAGACTGATGAGCTATCCAGGCACCTTTGAAAGGCGAAAACCGACCAAAAAAACCATCGACAAAATTTACGGAAATTGCGTCACCAGCAGCCAGTACTGGTCAACAGAAGAGATCCGATCGTACTCCACGGCAACGCCCATCCGCAGGTTTTATTCAATCACCGTTCGAAAATTAAACGAATTGAGCGTCGAAGTTCTACCTCATCCTTCATATTCTATAAAACTCTCGCCAACCGACTACCATCTTCTCAAGTTCGATAACTTCCTCACCGGTGAAACATTCACCAATCAGGAACAGACAAAAATGGCCTTCGTCGTCTTCATCGAATCCAGGGCACATAATTTTCACTCCTGAAGGAATTGATCTACTTGTTATTTTGACAAAACTGTTGCTTCAAGTACAGGTTCAAACGACGCTTATTTCGATTGAATCGAATGAGTATTCACTGATTTATTACAGTTCAAAGCATACTCCTAACAACGAACAAAACTATTGAAACAACTTATAGCTATCTCTATGAATCTGTGTACTTTTAACTGAACGGTTTAATTAAGCTTACCCTGTTTCTTTGGGTCAAATTTAGTAATTGGAGTTTGACCCCTTTCCTTTCCAAGATGGCCTTAGCTACAAAATGGCGGATAACATATTTTTCCATAACTACCTAAATATGGGTAATAAATGAAAGGGTTTGACTAGTAGAATAGTGGTAAATTTTGGAAAAGATGCAAATTCAAGATGGCTTCGTCTACAAAATGGCGGATTACATATTACATTGTAATAATGCGGCACTGAATGAACTAAACCGGTAAGAAGAATTGAGTATCAAAATCAGAAACTAAAAACTTGAAAATGAAATAGGTAAAAATATTTTATGTTAAACAGATTTATTTAAAAAAAAAAGATAAAATTGATGTAGAAGATGTACTGAAAACTAAAAAATAATTCGGAAAGTCTTAGATAGCAGTCATCACACTACCCTACTCGGCAATCTATGGTATTATTCAGACAAAAAATAAAATCGTTGCGCGTAGCGTAACCTGCATAAATATGTAAATACTACCCCCAACGATTTTATTATTTTTTATCTGATCAATACCGTAGATTGCTGAGGAGAGTGGTGAGACGACTGCTACCTAGGACCTTCTGAATTATTTTTTAACTTTTAGTACAATATCTACATCATTCTTATCTTTCTCTTCAATAAAACCCTTAAACATAAAAAAATACTTATTGTATTTAACAGTTAAGAACAGATGTAACAAAAATGTAGTACTAATTGAGAACAGTTCCCCTTTTTTATACCGATATCAAATAAATGAGAAGCATTGAGATGGTTTTAAAATTTCTTTCTCATGTTCAATAACTTACTTGGGTATCTGTCAAACTTGGAGAATCCAAATCTGCAATGACGTCAACTATTTTGGGATTCGCTTTCAAAATAGACTTGGATGGTACTTTTTGTGCCATTTGCGGGATCAACCCCATTTCCAAACTCTCCACTGCGGATCCAATCTCAAAAATGGAGTTTTGTGGGGATTCCCCAGCTAACAACCTCCGCATTGCCAAGGCGGAATAATCAACAGTAACAGGCTTTTCCGTAGCCACTTTTTTCGATTTTTTCATTTTGTAGTTCCTTAACTCTTCTAGTGGGTAATCGTTCATCGATAGGTGTCTGGGAAAACGGGAGGACTGAACTGGATCACGATGAATTTTACAAACTTTCATAGCGTGCAAATAAAATATCATATCTTTCGAGTCGAAGTTTGTGACGATAGTTTCAATGAGAGAGTCAATGTTAGTATGCATTGATACACATGCTTTACCATCTCGACACTTATATCCCTCCCTGTTCCTGGAGTAGGGATCGAAACAGTAATACATATTCCTCTGCTTCCATACCGCAAGATAACATTTTCCTATTTGTAGTAGGGCGTTAGTACATTTCTCCGAAAACTCTTCGAGGCAACACTTCAGCTGACAACAACAAGCCCGATATAACAAGTCTGCCAATACATTTCCGTATATGTATATTTCGACGATATAAGGTCCCAATGTGAATATGGCAGGCAGATTATCCAGCTGAAGGTCTACTATCGATTCACATTCCAGGCACTCCAAATACAGTTTGTTTCCAAGTATCATGATTTTGTCAACAGTAGTTTTATGCCAGGCACTAGGTGGCGTTATCCTGGAATATACCTGTCGAAGAAAGTATATTTTGAAATTAAAGTTGTTTCATTGTCTTTGTTAACAAAAAAATTGAAAAGGAAAGTCAATGTCGAAGCTTTATCGAAGAAAAATTATCACTTCAAATTGATCATAAAATGTGAATATTGGAAACTGAATCAAATGTTGATAAAAAGAATGACTATATTCAAAAAATTTCATATTTCAATGAAGAATGTATATGTATAGAGTACACAACAAAATAAAAGGTTTTCGGAGGAATATATTTGAAAAAAAATCAGATTGCACATTCCAAATTGTAGTTCAATGATTTTATATTTGGGAATCATGAAAATTGAAGACAAATCCTTCGTCTTGGTAAACATTTACTATTGAAATTTTTATAAAAAATCTGTTGAGAAAACAGGCGTCATTGAAAATATAGAGTTGGCAGAAGCTTTTTTCAAATCTGAATGGAAGACCATCAACTTTATTATAAACTTCAGTGAAATGGAAGAAACAAAAATTGATTCCTATAACTCAAATGGAAACCAGATACCAACACTGAAATTTGGCAAATTCTAAATCATCCCCCCTTGCGACTACTGAGGAAATGAGAAGGAAACATTAAAAATGATTGTAGAGACCACATAACTCTAAAAAAATTTCAATTGGAGAATGACGTTTTTATAAAAAATCTACAGCAACTCAAAATCAACATAAATTGCAACTTTTGCATATGTTCCTAAAGGATTTTCAGATAGTGTATCGCCATAAAAAATCTGTATGACATTCTTGATAGTGTTGAATTATTTTTTTATATTAGTAGGGTGAAATACAATTCCGATTTTTCAAAATTATTTTGGCGAGAGAAAATAAAAAGAAGTCATTGCGTTCGTGAAGGTGTATATTAGGGTCAGTACTGTTTCTCATTTACTCAAGATCTAATTGGAAACCTCAGTTTGGAATGTAATTACTACCTGCCAATTATGCAAATGATATATTTCAACAAATCAACTTTGAGTTTCAAAAATCGTCATTTATATTCATTAATAAGAGGCCGAATAAATCAACAATTTCCAAATTATTAGTGTTGAGACAACAATAAAAATTGAAAGTTTGGATAATGTTGAAATTTCAGCTTATAGATGAAACTCTTAGTCTTTTGAAATAGATATTGTGTCACAACCATTAGTATCTCACCGGTTTTTTCTTTCTATACAACTAAGTATATTGAAGGTCCGGAATGAAATCAAATTGCAATATGTAGCCATAAACTCAGTGTTTTATTGGATATTTTGTTGAAAATATGTTTGCAACAACATGCAGGTTTGCTTTTATTGTTGAAATACAACAATCTCTGAGATATATTTGTCCTCAATCCTCTTCTGATTACTTGAAAAACATATTTGAATCGCAATGCTCCAAACGATTTGCACTTTTATCACATCGAAGACATTCAAAGTGCACCCCAAAACATACTTGTGATCGAGGAAATTTTTTAGCTTTTATTTGGGAAGGTATGAATGATAATTCGGCAATTCATTAATTCTTCTGGAAAAAATCCACCATTCAAAAGATGGATAATGATTATAGTTTAACTTTTTCCATTATGTATGTTCGAATATGTCGATACCGACAGTACATGACAAATTATCCATAGACAAAAGACTCTATGTTAGGAATTTTACTTGGCGGTACAGTACGCGACAACTAAGATGAGATTTTGATGCGCATTTAAAACCAAATTGTACCCGCCCCACTTTCCCTATCGCACCACTTATGGTTCGGGAGCTAAAAATCATTTGTGTTGAAAACGAGCCACCCTGAATGAACCTCTGTACAATCTGTTACCTAGGTTTCTTAGGTGTTTTTGTGAAGTATACTTCAAAAAAGTCTTATTTTGCCTAGTTAAGTTTGAATTCGATTTGTCTTCATTTTATATTTGTCTCATTCTACAATACCAGGTAAAGTTACAATTGGTGTTTCTGTTTTCGTGAATTCTTGAGAAACAACGGTTTATATGCTTCGAGAACGAATTGAGTTAGTGAGTTTGTACTACCAGAATGTAAATAGTGCTAGAACCGCTGTCCGTATTTTCAATGATAATCATCCAGAACGAAATGTGCGACACAAATACGTTTCGGAATTATTGAAAAAATTTATGGAAACTGGATCTGTTAACAATAAAAAGCATAACCGTTCAGGAGTTGTCAACGATGAAGCTATTTGTACTGCAGTTTTAGGGCACGTTGGAAAGTCTTACTAAATGGATCAACTTGCATCAGAATTGTCGATATTGGAGTGATACGAATTCTTATTTATACCATCACGTTCCTACCCAAGGACCTCAAGAACTGAATGTTTAGGCAGGTGAGCATCTGCTAATGCGAAACAATATAAGGTGATCAATTCAAAAAAATTGGAGACATTCTCTGGTGGTGCGGAAGTAACATCAAATGTCAATATGTCAAAATGCGTCCCCCTGTATACTATTGTTGACGTGTTTTTTATTTTTCCTGAAAATCATTGTACCAAAAGTTATTGAGGGTGGGTAGTTTTAAATAGAATACACTGTATATAGATATACTGCTGTAGTCTTTCTCATTTCTGAACAGACTATAAAATGAACTAGTAGTCCCAAAACTTTAAAAAAATTCGAAACCTCTGTTATCATAACAGTTACAGGAAAAACTACTATGACGAATTTTAGGCACCACTAAGGTTCATGTGTCATTATGTGGTGACACCATATATTTTTTCTTACGGAACGCCCACATAAAATAATGAAATACAATACGAGAATAATGTAACATTGAAAACAAAACAAATTGGTACTTCGTAAATATTGAATTCTCAAAGCTCTCATGTCCCTATTTTCAACCAAAACATTCCTATTATTCTCTGTTCTCCTCCAACGAAACCCCATTTTTCGATGAATTCTTCCTAGTGACATCTCGAATGCGGAAATATCCAAATCCTCTTCAATCCTCTGCTGTAATTTTTCGACACTCACTCGACAATTTTCTGTCTTATGAAAATCATGAATTATACGGCGAATATCAATTATTTAATAAAGACGTAAGTTAGTACCAGGTGACTTTCTCTCACGTTTTTCTATTGAAAAACTTATTTGGCCGTTATTTTTCAATGACCGCTGAGTTTTTTGTACAATTCTATCCACTGTGCTAATGGGAACTGTAACACAGTATTCTACTTTAGAGTTAACTGAACTTACGTTATTGAAGTTGAGTAATTGAATAAGAAACTTGCATATGTCTGATAATTTCTTCAAATCAAAAATGTAAGAAAGCATATTACTTGAAAACTAAGTATCCGATATTCATTATTACAAAAATTATCGAACTATCATAGATTAAAGAATATTATATGAGAATAGCACCATAACATATTGAAATTACAGATTTCCTCATCAATTTTCACAAATTATTCAATTGTGATTGGCACTTTTTTTAAAATTTTGTTTATCTAATGATCTATGTTTATTTTATAGTTATTCAATAAAAATAAAAGAAACAAAGAATGGTTACCCTAAACTCAATAAATATTATATGAATTTATTCACCTGTTGCTTGTGATGTTTTACTTTCCACACTAACAAAGTGTCCAATTCACCCTTTCTACTTTTGAAGTAATTATACACATTTAATCAATAATAAATGTTTATTGAATGTGTTTTTTCTCATACATTTCAAAGTTAACGCCTGACTCAACACTATTTACTTCTGTCTGTTGCGCTACTGACAATGCGAAATATGAGTTAAGTGGGCGGAATCTTTTAACACAGAACGATTTTACGTTTCTACGCTGACTCATTTTTGTTGGCGTTGACTATACCAACTTCAAACTTCATGCTTTAAAGATGTAGGCTTTTTCAAACACTCTTTGAGAATGTTGCTCAATTCTCAGATATAACATGAGTAACGTTTTCCAGTTTCCTTACTCAACCTAGATATTTCAGCTCTAGCGCAGTTCGAAGGTTTCTGTAGAGAGCTTTGACAAACTGAGCTCAATGAACTTCGCAAACCGAACCAGATGACGTTCAAAGGGCCGTTGTGGGTTTAAAGAACTCTATTGCTCCAGGTCCGGCTGGACTGAATCTTTATTGATGTGAAAAAATATCGAGCACCCACCACGATGTAGTCAGAGTTTTCAGCTCTTGGCTGAACGGGGAACAGCAGGGAACGGGGAATGGTTTTGTCGAGGGGTGTACGATTCTAATCTCCAGAAACGAAGATTTGTCGATAGTGGACCGAGTAGTCGAACAGATAAATGATCAGAGAGTGTCAAATGAAGGAGTCACTGAATGTAAAGAGAACCTGCTCATTGATAGATGTGTGACGCAAGACTCGCGTCACACATCGCGTCACACAGTATAAGCGTAACATTTCTGATGCCTGTATCGATTACTGCAAAGCATTTGATACAACATCGTAAAAACTCATTTTGTATTTGCAATAGCCCTTAAAAATTGTGATATGTCTTGTACAACTGATACCACTCTAGTGGACTCGCTTCACCATAACTTCTGGTCAGACTAGAGTCCGAATACAGCGAGTCACTTTCAGAGAGTCAGTTTTGAGAAGATTCCCCAAGTCCATTTTCATTATTCGGTGCACTCAGGAATATTCAACACTGTACACCCCCGGGCCACAGTGCCATAGTTAGACACAAGCTCTAACATTTGTTTTTTATGGATGAATTTAAATATTGTATGCTTATGGAGAAAGTGACCTTCATCGGTCCTCAAGGATTGTGCAAGGGAACACATGATCTTCATGATCTTTAGCTCGCAGAAAAAAGAGCTGGCGAATATACTCATTCGGGATGAAACAATACCAGCCACAAAAGTTAACCTGAGTGAAGAACTCTCTCTTTGGCAAGTATCAGCAGTTTGTGCTGATCTTAGTCTCCATTTGTTGTTGAATTATCTGTGGATATTTTTGAAATATGTTAAAATTGTATTACTATCTTCTAAGAGATATGATTCTGAAATGGATACATTGTAAATAAGAAACAATAGAGATAACTTTTAAGCACTTGGATAATGCATGAAACCATGACGATTACAAATGGATCCCACAAGATAATCCAATTGATAGTATCAAAAGTTTCACAGAGATGTAATGATAGGAGTCTACATTTTCTATTTTGCCTAATTTGTAAAAATTTCAATGAAAGTTGATGAGATCTACTTTTCCGGTGAATATTAGTTTTGTGTCTCCTGTTATTCTTGTTATCAGCGAAGGGATTAAAAATGAGGAAGAAAAGAGAATTGAAACTGTCTATGTTTTTAACCACTTTTATTTGTAACTAACGTTATTGCAGTTTCGTCCTATAAGGACATTTTCAAACTTACACATTGAACTAACAATGATTGATTACATTAGCCTTTATATAATACCACTGTAAGTAATAATAGAGGTTCATAGCTTGTGAATTTTCAAGGATTCCAAATAATTGAGTTTGCAACCCTTCCTTGCATAGTGCAAAACTTCCGTATCGTTTACATTCTGGAACTTGTGGTTGCATGCCAAGGAATGGTTTGAAAACGTCGAATCATTTTTACCTAATCTGAAGGACCTTTCATGTTCAGCATACCGTTTTTGGAAATTTCGACCGCATTGTCCCACATAAACACTATTACACTCCGGACACTTAAACTTATAAACTTCGGATTTCTTCAATTTTATCGTTGGCATTAAAAAGGAAATTAGATAACCTGACATGTGGCCTGAATGCCACTTCCACATTGTGTTTTCTGAAGACAGCCGCAATTACCTTTGTTCTTTCACTCAAATATGTTAAGAGTTACTCATTGCTTGATTTCTGATTGTTTGATCTAGGGATATATTAATCTGTAGGGTAATTTACGGCTTTGTTTTCTGACTAACTTTTGGATTGTATCTACGTTGAAACCATTATTATGGCCCTTCTGTGTAATTATATCAATTTCCCAAGCTAGATTCTTGCAGACAAAGGCAGTGAGAATGCTCTGTGCAGCATTGGATTGTAGGCTGCTAATTTATGACTTTCTGGATGGCAAGAATCATTTGGGATGGTAATGTTTGTGTAGCTAGGTTTTCTGAAAACATTGAATTCAAATTTCGTTCTGATTGTGTGTAATGGTCAGGTCTAAGAAATATATCTGCTTCTTTCTCTATCTCTGCTTCGAGTGTGAACTGAATGTTGCTATTGAGATTATTCATAAATGTCATAAATTGGTTCAGCTGTCGTGTAGTACCTCTGAAACAGGTGAGAATATCGACTACGTATCTATACCAAAAATGAATATGTTTTTTACCCAGGTCGGAATTTACTATAGTGGTCAAAGTGAAGTGGACAAAGGGGTGAGCCCCTCATTTCAAATACATATATCAAATCAAGCCAAAGGAGACCATATCACTTCCTTTGAAATTTCAACAGCTTTCGATGTGTGCCAAAATCAGAGTTACCTATATTTCAACAACGAATTTTATAAACAGGATTCAGGGTTACCAATGGGCTCACCCCTTACCACTTGCAGCAGACTTATTCATGAAAAGCTTGGAGACCGCTATAGTAAATTCCGACCTGGGTAAAAAACATATTCATTTTTGGTACAGATATGTAGACGATATTCTCGCCTGTTTCAGAGGTACCACATGACAGCTGAACCAATTTATGACATTCATGAATAATCTTAATGGCAATATCCAGTTCACACTCGATATAGAGAGACAGTAAAATTTATTAGACTTGACCATTACACACAATCAGAATAATTTTGTGTTCAATGTTTTCAGAAAACCTAGCAATACAGATATTACCATCTCAAGTGATTATTTCCATCCAGACAGTCATAAATTAGCAGCCTATAATTCAATGTTGCACAGAGCATTCTCACTGTCTTTGTATGCTAACAATCTAGCTAGGGAAATTGACATAATTACACAGATAGGCCATAATAATGGTTTCAATGCAGATACAATCCATAAGTTAGTCAGAAAACAAAGCCGTGAATTCACTTACAGATCAATATACTCCCAAATCAAACAATCAGAAATCAAGATATGGGTAACTCTAACATATTTTGGTAAAAGAACAGAGATAATTGCGGGTTTCTTCAGGAAAAACAATGTGGAAGTGGCAGTCAGACCAAATGCCAGGTTTTCTGATTTCCTTTTCAATGCCAAAGATAACGTAGACAAGTTTATAAGCTCAAGTTTCCGGAGTGTAATAGTGTTTTTGTGGGACAATGTGGTCGAAATTACGTTTTGCTGAACATTAAAGGTCCTTCAGACTAGGTAAAAATGATTCAACGTTTTCAAACCATTCTTTTGCATGCAATCACAAGTGCCCATATCTAAACAATATGGACATTTTGCACCATGCAAGAAAGGGTTGCAAACTCAATTATTTGGAATCTTTGAAAATTCACGTGCATAAACATTATGTGTCCAACCTGTTGAATGATCAAATCGATTCAGTTTAACCACCGGTTTTCAAATTAGCGTATCCACATGGTCACTAGTAAACAAAATTCATATACTCAATCAAGCTTAGTACCTCTATCATTACCTACAGTGGTATAATGTAAGGGCTAATGTAATCAACCATTGTTAGTTTAATGCATGAGTTTGAAAATGTCCTCATAAGACGAAACTGCAGTAACGTTAGTTAAAAATGAAAGTGGTAATAAACAGAAAGTTCCACTTCTTTTCTTTTCATTATGATTTCCCACCACGTAGTAACGGCTACATCCATCAATTTATTGATTAAAAATATATTTTTATCTAGATTAGGACAGCTGATCAACGGAAAAACAGATTTTAAACAGATGCAGCTTCAGGTTGACTTTATCTTCCTGAAGACATTCAAAGTATTTTCAATAGTGATAGAACTACAGCGAATAGACCAAACAAAGTTACATCCATCAGATTGACTGTACCATTGAATTACACTATACCGACAATAAAACAACAGCAAAGATTTCTCGTCAGTTACTATACTTACCAAACAAACGACACTCATAGCCAAAGACTGTTTATTTCTACTGAATTCGAAACATTTATCGGCCAAATCAAAAGATCCAGAAACCACAGCTTTGTTTTCATTCAAAACCTCGTATTCACTGATGGCGTTTAGTTCACTGCTGGAATTCTTTTCCGGTTCATCCTTATTCAAAATTCTGAACACTTTCAGAGGATAAATGTTGAATGGCCAGTTACCAAAATTGGATCTGCTCAAAAAAACCGTAGCAAGTGCAGGAATATCGTAAAAGTTTGCCATGATGGCGGTTCCAGTTGGTGAACAGTAGAGATCCCTTGTTCTGGGTCTTGCGTCAAACATATAAAAGTACTTGTTTTTCCAAATTGCTACACTGATATCTTGAGTTTTGAAAATTCCTGCAGAGTTTCGCGCAAAAAATATCCTCAGAGCTTTTGTGAGATTGAACACTCTTTTATCGTTTGAATTAATATATCCCGAAACTTCCGTATCGTCTACTGTGAAGCGTATTTTTTTCTCACCTACAAAAAAAATATATCAGTTCAAACAATTTTGTATTAGAACATAAAATAAAGAACAGCCGAATATTTCTAAATGATGAATGTTTGAAAAAGCCTTCAGTTCAAATCGTACTTATTGACAACGTTACTTTGACTTCAAATATTCGTTCCTGTATTGTTATTTTTTTGTAAAACTCAACAAAATCATTTGCCATGCTTATTAAGTAATAAACGTGTTCAAGTATCTACTGAATTGTATTCTCTTTATGATCCCAAGAAACAATAAATGTTTATGAATAGGGATTAACTAAATTAAGGGATTGACTAAATTAAGAAAACACAAGTAATTGATATAATCAGTGAACACTAAATTTGTTGATAGGTATCATAATCTGAAATTTAAAAAAATACGAATACTTGAATAAGGAAACGCGAGTGGAATATTAAATATGACCAAGTCGAATGTGAAATTTTCCATAGTTAATATAAAAATATTTAGATGATTCTGGCTGTATGAATATCGTATCCTAAATGAATATCATTCAATTCATTGAATACTTTTTCAATTGATTTTTGAATGTGAGAGCAGTTTTAGATTTTATTATGTCTTCAAGAATTATATTATTAATTATAATTCCATCATGATGAATTGATTCCTGTCCAAAATTAGATTTGAAATTACTAACTGATAATTATTTTGTTTGTCTAGTGTTATTGATTTCTATGAGACTTATGTATGAAATTGTAGATTTATTTGTTATTGAATGAATGAAACAACAACAAGTAAGCGAATGAATGTCATTACGATGTGATCGATGACATGAGTAGATCAAATTCATTCCGTGAAATGAAATCGTTATTTATTATTGAATTGTCTGTTTTTTTTATAATGTTATAGAGATTGGTACTAAAGAGCCCTACGGTCTTGCGGAAAACATCGATGTCTACCAGTGAGGATTTAGTATATTGTGTGAAAATCCTGTGAATTATATCTGATTCAATTCCATAAAGAATGTTTGGAATACAAACTGAGTAGAGAAAAGTGTTTTTGTATAATTCAGTGTTCGTATAAAAGTATTCATTTCGAAAGATTTTCTTTCGTGTTTATATGAGAATACAGCCAAAAACTTTCTTTCCCAAAAAATATTTTGTTTGTATAGTGTGTTCAAATCTGGTACATTTTTTGGTTTAATTAAATTTACTGTTGGTTCTGAGTACGATAATTCATAAATGCATTTATCAGTTTTTTTGGAAAGATTTCAAAGATTTTATTTTATTTTGTAAGAACAAAACACAAGCACTTTTGTATGCCATCCTTAAAAAAAGGTTGGAACCTGGTTAGACAACCACTGCAGCACAGTCGTTGATTTCGTTGTTATCGTTGTCTGTCACTCGGAGCTAGATTGGGAATGTATAGCGGTGGGTCCAATTATTTCCGCCCAAGGTCACCCACTTAGTTCCTCATCGTGAATATGCGTCCATCTCTGAGAGCCCAACCCATTCACGTACACTTCCATCACTAATGATGTTTTCATTATAAATTTCACTGATTTGGAGATAAAAATCAGCTGTTTTCAAGCCTTCAGTTCTGAAAAAATGAATAGCTGCACTCACTTCAGAGTAGGTGGAATCATCAATGGACAATCTGGTTACGTATTGGCGTCTGTGGCTTCCCAAGAAATGTACTGCACTGGCGTAATTTGAAAGCGGTAGTTACTTCCTTCAAAAACACACCTTGTATTATTTATGAGAACTAATAGAAAGGCAACATAAAAATTGGATTGTATTGAGAAATCGGCCCAGCAACGGCCTGTCTCCCGAACTTCAATCTTGTACTGGAAATAGCGACGAATTATAATGAAAGACATATCAATTGCTGCGAATACTATAATTCGGAAAGCTTCCATTATTGTGAAAATTACACCGAATTCACTAAAAGCCCAGTTCAGCTTCAGTGGGTAATTTTTTTCATTTATTATTATATCATTAAACACCCAATTGTTAACTTGAAATAAAATATGAGAGCGATTATAGTCAAAACAGAAATTGAATGCTTTCTTCTTTTCTTTGAAAGATTCCCACATTTTTTGTATCAAGATGGAGAAGTAGAAAGCCAAAACCTTTCTTTCCCAAAAATCAATCTCTCCTAATACCCTTTTCAATTCAGATCAAAACATAGGTATCTTGTGGAAAATCAAAAATATACCGTGCTGTACTTTCCAACCAAAATTCTTCAGATTGAACAAAATTTCATCAAGATATATATAATCATCCGAGAGTATACGATAAAATTTCTAGGAATCATTCATTTTTTGACAAATACTCTGTCACTTACCATCCATTAACTGTAATCTGAGTGAGTGTGAAATGTATTCGTGTTTCAGTTCGTTTTGAAGCCGAGAACAGACATGGTTTCCAAAACATGGTTGCTAGCCATTGTAGAAGCTGATAATATCAAAAAATCAAGCAAAGTAATGTAGAATTGTGACTTATTTATTTACACCACAAAAATCTCAAGGATGATTTGCTCATGACACCAGATGTATCGATTTGAGTAACTTCGACTAATCATATATTATAATTCATGAAATAGTATATGAAAACATTTCCATCTGATTTAAATAATCTAATTAGATAAGAGAAAGTTGTACTCTGGATGTTATGCAGTAAGGTTGTGTACCATTCCTTAGTAGAATTCCACCTGATATATGGAATCCCATTCTGGGGGTATGTAATATGAATCAAATTAAATCAAATTAAAAATAGTGTCAATGATAATTGTTTAAGTGTTTTTGAATAAATAGTGCTCTCATTCACGCCGGTTGGAGGCCGGGGTGGACCGGATGCCCATGAGGGAGTGCTAAAGTGAAAAAATATATAATACCTACTCCCATTCACGCCGGTTGGAGGCCGGGTGGACCGGATGTCCACGTGGGAGTAGGATCGCAACGAATAATCTGTTAAGAAGAAGATGATAATTTTATATGTATGTATATGTCCGCCGCAGGAAGACGTGCTTATCAAAAATTATTAATTTGGGAAGAATAAAAATGGGGTGCAATATTGCGTAAAGCAAGACTTTCCAGACAAAGTTTTTATTATAGTTTTTACTATAATGAAAAGAGTACTGGTCATAATAGCGCCATCTAGAAGCTGGGACCAATATTAAGTAGAAGAAGAAGAAGTACTACAAAAACATGCACTAAAATAAATGTGCAAAGCAAGGATCCAAGATTTCTGTAAACCTCTTTTTGTTAAACACAAAATGTTAACAGAATTCGCAATTTTTGTTACGGAAACGGTATGTCTAATTGAAAAACATATTCACATTACTTACACACATCCCGCCGCACGCGTCAAGCTGGTAACATTAAATTCCCGATCCCATTACTGACACCAATTAAAGATTCAATAATTTATGCAGGTGGTAAGATGTTCAATCACTTACCAAAACACATCAAAGAAATAAGTGCAGTAGAACATTTCAAAAAGGAAATAAAAGCTCTCTTGTTGGATAAACCCTATTATAGTTTACAAGAATTTTATAATGACGCATTCTAACTCAAACTAATTTTAATATGTTGTAAGATGTTTCTCATGTGTTACATTTTATATATTGTTGAAGGTATGAGACATTCTAGTATAATGTCAGTGTCGACATATTGTTCCATTTCTTCTTTCTGTGTGTGTATATTTTACTTTACCTTAATTTAAGATTGTTTTAGGCCTTAACTTTGTCAACAAGATTTTGTATCTTTGAACAATAAAACATATTCTTTCTTTATCTCTCTAATTTCTGAAATATTCTAAAAAGGAAATATTTCTATACGGTACTTTGATTTGAAGCGTGATACAGCCAAGGGCGGATTAAGATCTGATTGAATAGTTCTGGCCGATACTTGATGAAGATGAAATTTACTTGTCGGGGGGTTACTTTCAGGATAAATAATGTGCCTGTATACAGGCTGATTCACGGTGGATGGCACATTAGACGTTTCTGGTGAACCAGACAACGGATCACTTTGAAAATTTAATGGAGGGCATATTCGGACATTCTCTAGCCAACTAAAATATTTTCGACAATGCGGTGTTGCCGCTTCTATTAGAAAGCAGTAGCAAGTTTGATTTTTCAAA